ATATACATTCCCTACTGTGATGTTCAACCTTGTCATAAGTCCAAAGTGATGGACCCAAGCAACTATGTTCCGAAACTTCTAAAACCATGAGCCAAAATAAACTTTTCCCCTTTTGAAGTTGTTTGACTATGGAATTTTGTTACAGGGACAGAAAGCTGACTAACGTAAGCGTTTCCTTAAAAAAATTAAAAGCAGAATTGTCGTATGATCCAGCAATTACACCTATCAGTACATACCCTACAAAACTGGAAGATGGGATTGGCAAATATTTTTAGATTCATGTTCATAATAGCAATATTCACAATAACCAAGGAGGGGAAAGAACCCAAGTGTTCATTGGCAGGTGAATGAATAAACAAAATGTGGTCTATAAACAACAAAATATTACTCAACATTATAAAAGAAGTAAATTCTGGGAGCTGGGTTGTGGTTCAGTGGTAGAACGCTTGCCTACCATGCATGAGGCACTGAGTTCAATCCCCAGCACCACATAAAAATAAACAAATAAAATAAAGGTATTGTGTCCGTCTACAACTAAAAAATATATTTTAAAAAAAAGAAGTAAATTCTGACACATGCTACAACATGTATGAAGCTTGAGTATGTTATGTAAGTGAAATAAGCCAGTCACAGAATGACAAACACTATAAAATTCCATTTATATGAGGTCCCTGGAATAGTTACTTTCATAGAAACAGAAAGTAGAATCACAGCTGCTGAGACCTGGGGGAAGAGAATGACAGTTACTTTTTTTTTTTTTCCTTTGTACTGGGGATTGAACTCAGGGGCACTCAACCACTGAGCCACATCTCCACCCCTGTTTTGTATTTAATTTAGAGACAGAGTCTCACTGAGTTGCTTAGCACCTCGCTTTTGCTGAGGCTGGCTTTGAACTCACAATCCTCCTGCCTCAGCCTCCTACCCACTGGGATTATAGGCATGCGCCACTGCGCCCAGCAAGAGCTACTTTTTAATGCGTACATAATTTCACTTTTGCAAGATAAAAAGAATTCTGGAGATGGATGGTGGTAATGTTGCACAACCAGGTGAGGGTTCTAAATGTCACTGGACTGTACACTTAAGAATGGTTACCAGACTAAGGTTGTGGCTCAGTGGTAAAGCACTTGCCTAGCATGTGTGAGGCACTAGGTTCGATTCTTAGCACCACATATGAATACATAAAATAAAGATCCATCAAAAACTAAAAAAAAAAAATTTTTTAAATGGTTACGATGGTAAAGTCTATATTATATGTATTTTTCAATTTATAAAAGTTTCTGAAGGCAATAAGCATAAAAATGCTTTCACTGTGCAGAGTACACAGAAAATGTTCCCAAGCTAATAAATTTTACATTTGTTATTCTTTCATGAAGTTTTATTGAATGACGCCCAAGATAGCTCCATTATGTCAAGAGTCCCTTTGTGGAAAAAAGCATGTGATGGAATAAAATGATCAGAATTGTTAGAAATGCCTAAGAAGTCATTCAGTCCCACCCCTCAGATAGAAAAAAAGTCACATCCCTTGCCAACTCTTAGAGTGCCTCTTGCTAAAATCAATGGTTTGGACAATTCAGTTAGACCACCTATATGTCCTTTCATCTCTCATACTTCTCCAATCTAATTCAAAGTTCAAAAATCATATCATGCCGTTCTAGGTCCTCTGGGCAAAAGGACATGCTGAGAGGTTTGAGCTCTGAGTGCTTCTGTATACATGCACACACCCTGTTTTAAGTAGAGCTGCTCACTTATTCTTGTTTTATAGGCTGTGGTTATGTTCGATATTTACTTTTTTAAAGTGTTCTTCTAAGAAAATAATTGAAAGTCACATTTCTAAAGGCACCAAATAAGTGATTTTTTTTTCAGATGACTGAAGTTTACCCCCTATAAATCACAAAACTCATGTTAAATTAAACTGATCCTTGTTCCACTGCTTCCAAAATAGGATTCCTTGAACACAGCCCCACTGGGGAAGCTTGGCTTTGCCAAAGCATGTGACAGATTCTGCTCTACATAGATTTATGAGTTTCTTTCCCTTTTCATTCAGATACAATGCTTTGAGACCAAAATGAAACTAATAACTAAGGAGGAACTTGGTGCTTCCTCTCCGCCCAGGTCTTATCTTTTCCTGAATCAATGCACTCTGACTCCATTTGCCATTCAATACCATCCTTGGGTCCTCCCTTCTGTCTTTTCATAGATGTTATCTCTCTTAAGAGATCTTCCTCAGCCTAGTCTTTATCAGCCTAGTCTTTACCATTATTAAAAACTCAGCTCAGTTGTTACCATTTTAGGAAACCACCTAAGGTAGGTAAAAAAGCTTTTGCTCAGCTCTCCCAAACATCACGTACACCACAGCACCGGCCATATTTTTACTATGATTGTCATTTAGCCTTCTCCTTAGCTAGGTATGTGCCCCTAAATCCAAAGTCTGTGTTCTATTTATCTCTGTAACCTCAACAAAGATAAAAAGGCTATGTTTTTTTAACAGAACTATAATAATTTTATGCCAACTTAAAGGCTCACTGATCATTTTGTTAATTGCCAAAGTCTCTTGACTTTCTCAGTGAGTTTTCTGCTGTACCCTCTTAGTTATGTTAGATGATTGATGTTTCCTCCTGTTGACAAGAATATTTAATGACAGAAAAAATATAACTGAAAATTAAATAAAACATCTAAATACAAAGCTGGGCAAACCTTAATCAAATTTTATGAAAGCAGTTACATATTTTACATATATATGAATGAATTATATTCATACATTATTTATGTGTCATTTTATAGATATATCATCAGAATAGTTGACAGTGTTCAAATCTTGTTAGGCCAGGCACAGTGGCACATACCTGTAATCCAGGCTACTCCAGAGGCTGAGGCAGGAGGATCACAAGCTGAAGGTCAGCCTCGGCAATTAAGCAAGACCCTGTCTCAAAAAGGGCTGAGGATGTAGCTTACTGGTAAATTGTCCCTGGGTTCAATCTCCAGTACCAAAAAGAAAAAATCTTACTAGGCTGTCCAGATGTATTTTTCAAATTATCATTCTGAGACTTCCAGTTTCCAGTCAGACATGTGAGAAGATCGAAAGCCACTACTCCATCCTAACAACAAATCAAAAGCTAAACAAACTGAAATATCAATAACTTCTCCTAGATCCTCAGAGAAGTGAGGTTACAGGGCAGATGACTGTCCCAAAATTGGAGAGAGAGACAGCACAGCAGACACAGAGGACCATACCACAGAGCAGAAAACTCCTCAGGAATTTTCCACAATTTTTCTGTTAACCTAAAACTGTTCTGAAAAATAATGTCTGTTTAAATGGAAAAAAAAATTTAATCTTTCCTGCATTTTCCAAATTTATCATAATGAGTACATATTCATTCTAGGGAAGCAGACTTAAATATGCTGAAATGTTTTCCTCTCTCCCCAATATCAAAGAAGAAAAGTCAAATGACTCAGAGGCTTCTCCCAACATTGTGCTTCCAAGTCCTGAGATGTTGGGTGAGTCTCACACTTCCCTCTCTAGCACTGAATGATCTTGTTCTGCGGTGAAAATATGGAGAGAAGGGATTATGCCCCTCCCTGATTGACATCCTCCTCCATCTCTGCTCCTAGTCCTCCCACCAATGTAACCCAAAGGATATGTGTGACTTTGTGGCACTCTTATGTATAATTCAAAGTTTATTGATTTGGACGAGACTGCCACTTTCCAAATGTGTGCAACAAAGTCAGTATGACACATTAATATTTTATGGTTTTTCTGTTCATGTGTGAGGCTGACTCAGACTGGACTTCCCAGGACAAAGGCTACTGGGAAGTGCAGAGTCCCCTCTGAGACTGCTGAGCAGAGTGGGACCTCAATTCATATACACTGGTCATCAGAATCTGAGACATGGGTTAGATATCAAGATGAGTACCTAACTAGGAATTATGTTTCTGTGGCAATCTTATATTCCTGTGTCTGTCTTTGTTCCCCACCCAGAGTGTTAAGCCCATTCAGAGTCTCTGCAGGCTTTGCCCATCTGCATTGCAGCTGGGGCTTCTTCAGCTGCCTTAAAGGCTGCTAATAATCGTGGAAAATTAAGCCAAAGCCCAGACAATATTGTTCACAGTAGTTATCTTGTCATATTTTTAAGACTTTTTAAAATTCAGACATTCACAAAGATTTAAGACAATGAAAGTCATTGTTGCATTATTAGTAACAGAAAAACACTGGCAGTCATTTTGATGTCCAACAAAAGAGGATTTTTAAAATAAATCATGATATATAACTTCATGTGATGGGATACTTTAAGCCTAAAATCTACTCTAAAATCACTCCCTGGAAGACTAATCATGAGGGGAAGACACATGATAGATTATAAGGTGCAAAAGTAGAGTCTCGTAATACTCTGTACAGAATGGCCCCAATTTTGGATAGCTAAGAGGTGAGTTATGTGCTTCGGAGAGCTGATTTCATATAGTTCCACCCAAGTACCAAACTAGTCTTTCCCTGTGACCTCACTGCTGCCCTTCCAGGTGTCACTAGGGCTCACAGATATTCTTGACTTTTGAAGAGTGCAACTGGCCACACAAAGTAATTCAGATGGGGAATACCAGCATCTCTGGGAACAAATGGCCAACACACAAGCAAATTAATCAATGTGCCAGAGACCCACTGGCTGATCTCCGTGGGTGGTCCTAGTGCCATGGCAGGGAGGGACTGCTGACTGTTTTCTGTGGCTCTGGTGAAGCAGTTACTCACATCAGGCAGGTGGTCCACGGGCGTGGTCTCATGCAGTTCCCTTGAGGCTCCCAAATGGTACTCACGGAGGCAGAGCAACTTAGGGAAGCAGCTAAGTACTGGTCCCCTCCAGAGGGTCTATGTCATCCCTCTCAGACCCATTCATCTATCTCTTGCCAAAGTTCTGTGTCCCATTCCCACATGCCTTCCCCTGGCACAGAGAATTCTTCATCTCCCCTGGGACCAGGGAGCCTGACTTTTCTTCCCTTCTTGTTTACTCCAGGCAATTCTATGCACTGAACTCTTTGGAACATGGACTTTCAAAATAGTCACTTCCAGAACTTGAATTTCAAGACTTCTAAATTCAGATGTAAGTTTCAAAAGGCAATTTTGAGCCTTTAAAAAGCAATAGGAGAGGGGTGGGGGTCATGGCTCAGTGGTAGAATGCTTGCCTAGCATGTGTGAGGCACTGGGTTCGATTCATATGCACCACATATAAAATAACTTTTTAGAAAAGGTTAATCAACCACTAAAAAAATTTAATGATAAAAAATAAAATAAGTGGGAGGACGGATGACACAGGACATAGTACAAAGGAATACAGTGTGGGAAAGTATTCAGGGTAATATCTCCAATTTGACTCCTACCTCATAAATATTTGCATATATTAAATATTGGAGCAATATTCACCTTTCAAAGTCATTACAATTGCTCTCTCTATATAGAGATGACCAATGACTTTCATCTTCCTCTTTGTCCATATTTTCTTTTTTACGTTTTCTGCAGTGAAGATATATTACAAGAGAAATAAACTCAATGACAGTATTGCTTTCCAATGGCAACTTGTAATGTGAAAAATTGTGGATAGTTAAAATTGAATCCCTCTAATTGTGCACCAAATACAGTACTCAGACATGCATTGATTAACCCAATCAGTAATTCCTGTGGGTTTGGAACATAAAGCTGTTTCTTCAGCCAAACACTAGATGAGGTAGTCAGCTTGCATCTGAAGTCCATGATGAATGAAAAAGAAGCATCTTAAAACACCTAGAATCACTTACATATAGCTGAACTTACTTTAGTTGAGTATATTAATAAATGCAATCATACTGTACTTATAAAATTAGAACAAAGACTATATTAAAAGTGTTACTCAAAAATATTATCGAACAAGGTAAAATAACTTCAATATCAAAGAAAAACCTGACTATTCAAAGGGATTATTTAATTGCCAAAAATATTGTCCTTCTGTTTGCCAATTATGACACTTTTTAAATATAAATGTAAATCATTATCCCAATCTGGAGAATGGGCATAACTAAACAGAGTATATGCTCAATGATTATCTTTGCAGTCAGTGTGAATGTACAGGTACTGAAATTTGCCAGCCTGGCCAGAATGGGATTGGGCTGATGATGCATACAAAGGGCACATAAATATTATGAGGTCACAGAATTTCAGAGATGGACAACCCAAGACAGACAGGAACTGAGCCAAGCCCTCATATTTAACAGGTGTAGACCCAGAGGGTCAGAGAAGCAATGTTTCCAAGTTCATGGAGCTGCCTGGTAAAGTGGGGACCAGTAATCAGGTCTCCTAATTATCCATCCTGAGTGCATCCTGAAACTGCCTTTTTTTCACAGACGAAAAAACAGAAACAGAGAAAGTGGATAACTAGAAAATATGGGGTGGGAGAAACAGACTCAGCAGAAAGACAAACCCAGCACACAGTGGAACTCACTAAATATGCACTAAATGAAGTTCAGGATATGCTAATGGCCTATTTTTTATTCAAATTTTGAAACTCAGCATAATATGTGCATATTGTAAAATAAATAAGTACTAAAATATACAAGGAAAAAAATAAAAACTCTATTCCCTCAATCTCCCCATAAAAGGTACACTGTCAATCATCATCATTGACAGCTTAAATAATATCTTGCCAGATATTTTCCTGCACATATATAAATGATTTTATACAGAAGTTGATTCATAATACATACCTTCTGCATCTCTTTTCTTTTAATAATATATGAACATATTTTTTCTATGTCATATTTATGGATTGCCTTATTTGTTACAAGGTCTGAATAGTACTTATCCAATATTCTCACAATAACATTCTTCCTTGAAAAATGGGTTAAGAAAATTAAAAAGAGCACTCGGGGAGAAGACAGGCATTTTACAAATGATGCTGGGAAATATGAATAGTCATTTGGAAAATGCAAAATTGGAACCATTCTTCACACCATACAGTAGAATAAATTCCAAATGGATCAAAGGTTTAAAGTAAAATGTGAAATCATACAGAAGAAAATATGAGTAAATGTGTTTAACTTGGGAGCAGAAAATTCTTCCCCTAACCATAACACAAAATCCAGAACAGTAAAGCAAATATGGATGATTTTGACCACATAAACATTTTGCAGTTGGTCAGGGAAGAGAAAAAAGAAAACAGGAAAGAGAACCCATAAAAAGACACTCAAAAAATAAATCTAATGCAAGGTATAGACCTTATTTGCATCCTGATTCCACCAATCCAAGTATAAATGCACAGGAATGCAAGCACACACATTCACACACACACACACACACGAAAAAAATCAGGGAGATTCGGAAGACTGACAAATTGTTTGAGATTAGAAAATAGTAATTTTTTAAATAACTTGCTCTATATCATGTCTTTGAAAGAGGACATATCTTTCAGAGATTCAAACTGGTCGTATTTATGGATGAAAATTTTATGGGATTTTTTCATATTTATGGAATTTGCTTCAAAATAATTCAGGATGTGAGATATCACCAAGTAGCTGGCAATATGCACGACATAAGAATGGCCATGGAACCCAACATAGAGTTGGCACATGCTTGTAATTCCAGGGACTTTGGAGACTGAGGCCTGAGGACCGCAGGTTCATGCCAGCCTGATCAACTTAGCAAAACTCTGTCTCAAAATAAAAATCAAATAGGGCTGAAGATGTGACTCAGCAGTAGAGCACCTCGGGTTCAAATCCCAGTAACAACAATAGGTTTTACACCATGTTTTTTTTTCTCTTAGGGTTGGCTTTCATCCTTACATTTTTACTAAATTAGAATGTCCCAGCTGGCACAGTGGCTCACACCTGTAATTCTAGAGGCTCAGTAGCGGAGGCAGTAGGATTACAAAATCAAAGCCAGCCTCAGCAACTTAGTGAGGCCCTAAGCAACTTAGCGAAGCCCTGTCTCAAAAACTGAACAGAACTAGGGATGTGATTCAGTGGTTAAGTGCCCCTAAGTGCAATATCCAGTGTGTATACACACACACACACACACACACACACACACACACACACAACATCCCAACCTACAGTTTAGGTTATCAAGAAGATAAAAACTCAAAGAAAGGGAAACCTAACAGTACTGGAGACGCTGGATCCAACCATCACTGAAGCCATCACAGATTGCATTCTTTCCATGTATCAATTCCCCCTTTCTGCTTGTTGGTTAGAGTTGGGTTTAAGTGTGGTAGTAAAGGGCTTCATTGATGTACAGCACCCAACATGTGCTTAATAAAAAACAGTTGCTTAAGTTTAAGGGCTTTAAAACTATCTTAAACAACCATATATTATTATTCATCTCTCCCAACATTTTTTATGACAATGACTAATAGTTTCATAAAGAGCAACCATCCCTGAAGGTTCCTGGGAGAACAGCAGGCTTTGTTTTTCTTATCACATCTACCTAACTAAAATTTTGTATCCTTTGACCAACATCTCCCTGAGCCTCCTATTATTATTTATTATTAACAACTGTAGGATTGTGGGTCCAACATTCTTCAAGACCTGTGAGAACAGATCCTTATTGCTAATATTTTAAAATCTAAAAAGAGTACTGGTTCTTCATTTTTCTTTATCCAAAGTGACTCGTCTGGAAATTTTATTATGAAGGTTGTATTTTCCAAGAAAATTTATGCTTAGCAACCAAGCAGTAGGAAAATTCAAAGGGTGGTATTATTTTGGTAGCCCCACTAAGGTGCAGGGTCTATTCATTCCTCAAGCAAGTGACTGGTTATCAAGAACCAGAAGGAACATCACAGTATTTCAAGAATAATCTCACATTGGCAATTTGCAGAAACTAGCAAGTGACTCAGAATGCCAGTTTATTCATTTATAATGAGTAACATAACTACCACACTGAGCAAAAAATTACTGATGTGGAACGCATGAATCAGAACACAAGCCATCAGATGGTTTCTTGGCATGTATAAAATAAGAATAGGGATGCTTGAATGTATGGTTCAGATGTTTAATGGCATTGCTAGTAGAGTCCAGCTTCCACAGAAACTAAGAAAGTTAAATATACTGGAGATGGTAGACACTCCTTGGATACACACTGAAGATCAGAACTATGATCTGACTATGTTCTAAAACCCATGTTTCTCAAATTGGAGTGCCCCTGAAAACACCTCTGAACAGTACTGGCACAGAGAATACTTGCAATACATACATGGCAAATAATAAAGGGAAAAGGATATATTACTACTCAAAGCCAATGGGCAATGTATCTTCCTAGGATATTGAATGTAGGCAATTGCAAATGATATTTAAAATATCTGCCAGGCACGGTGGTGCCGTGCCTGTAATCCCAGCAACTCAGGAGGCTAACACAGGAGGATAGCAAGTTCAAGGCCAGCCTCAGCAACTTAGCAAGGCCCTATGCAATTTAGTGAGACCCTGGTTCAAAATAAAAATTAAAATAAGGGCTGGGGATGTGGCTCAGTGGTTAAGCACCCCTGGGTTCAATCCCTGGTACCAAAATAAAAATAAAAAACTAAAATATCACATATGCACATATATTTATATTATTGTATAATGTTATGCTATATATTATAGATAGCACTAACTAGGGAGAATCCTATTCACATTTCTGTTAAAACATTAAACCAAATAAAAATGTTTGATTGCAAAAGATGGCTTCCAACTGTAATTTTACATGTTTGATAATATGAATCACTTTCTTCTGCCCTACTAAGTTCACCATTTCCCTTCCTTTCATCAGTATTTTTTAATTGCTTTTATTTTTAAATACATGACAGCAGAATGCATCGCAACTCTTATTACACATATAGAACACTATTTTTCACATCTCTGTTTCTATATAAAATATGTTCACACCAATTCATGTCTTCACACATGTACTTTGGACAATGATGTCCATCACATTTCACCATCATTGCAACTCCCTACCTCCCCTTTTCCCTCCCACCCCTCTGCCCTATCTAGAGTTCGTCTATTCCTCCCATGCTCCCTCTCCCTACCCCACTATGAGTCAGTCACCTAATATCAGAGAAAACATTCACCATTTTTTTAGGGGGGCAGGGATTGGCTAACTTCACTTAGCATTATCTTCTCCAACTGCATCCATTTACCTGCAAATGCCATAATAGCTAAACTGTGGAACCAACCTAAATGCCCTTCAGTAGATGAAAGGATTAAAAAAATGTGGCATATACACACAATGGAATATTACTCAGCAATAAAACAGAATAAAATCATGGCAGTTGCAGGTACCAAAGGCCAAATGTTTTCTTTGATATGAGGTTTCTGACTCATAATGGCGATTTGGTCAGGGGGGAACATGGGAGGAATGAAGGAACTTTAGATACAGCAAATGGGGAGGGAGGGGAAAGGAGAGGGGAAGGAGGTGGAAATGATGGTGGAATGAGTTAGACATCATTACCCTAAGTACATATGTAAGACACGAATGGTGTGAAAATACTTTGTGTACAATCAGTGTCTTGAAAAATTGTGCTCTATATATGTAATATAAAATTAATTGCATTCTGCCATCATGTATAACAAATCAGAATAATTTTTTTTTTAAAAAAAGACCTTTTACCAAGATTAAACAAATGATAGATGGTGGAGACATGATTTGAAACAGATTCTTTTCAACTGTAGAGCCTCTGTGTTTTCCACTTGATTTTACTTGGGGGTGTCCTCCAACTCTTTGTTCAAATAACCTCACAATTTATTCCATAAAAATCCTGACAAGTATAATTTTTCAACTTTATGAATGCAACTTCATTTCCCTTATTTCCAAATTTTCAGGTAGAGGGAGGAGCTGCCTTAGTGCAGTTTCCTTGCATCATTGAAGAACATGAAAAGCAAGCAAGAGAAAGAGCGTGCACACATCAAAAGGAGCTTTCAGAAACAAATTTATTTCAATGTAAGAAATTCATTTTTCCTGGAAAAGAATAGATTTACCTGTGCTTGGAACCCCTGGGGTATGAGCAAGCCAAGAATTTTAAATCCTAAAAAAAAGAAAAGCCTGAGGTTGGGGATGTAGTTCAGTGGAAGAGCACTTGCCTAGATTGTGGAAAGCCCTAGGTTCAATCCCTAGCCCCACTCCCCATTTTTTTAAAAAAAGATCATGGCAAAACCTTCATTAAGCAAGGAAGCCTTACCAGTAAGTTCCATGGCACTGAGAATCAGATTGAAAATTGCTCATCGAAGAGGCCACTGTCAGTTTCTCACATTTAAGGATCAGGAAGGAAAAGTGACCCAAAGCCCTCAGTATGTGTCTTCTGCTTGCTGGTCACAGATGCTAACCCTCCTCCAGGTCTCCACGGGGTGACTGGCTCAGGGGGACCTGGCCTTCCCAGAATCTCACCCACTCAGAGTCCTGCTTATAAGCAAGACATTCAGGGAAATGCCACTGAGTGAAAGAGCCTCAGAGGAGCGAGCAGCGTGCCCCAGTGAGTCTCTGTGGGCTAACAAGGTAGATTGGCGCCCCGCCAAATCTTCTTTTCAAAAACTGGTAGGAAAGTCAATAAGATAAGATAAAAATAAATCAAAATTCAACCAACATAGCCTGTAGAAGTACTTCCCAGTACAGTCTTCATTTGGCCCTCCCCAAAACTCTTGGAAACAAACACTACATTTCCTCTTTTACAAATGAGGTGACAGAGGAGTCACAGTGACAGCTGGGTTTTGAGCCTCACAGATTATCTCTAAAATCTCTCCTTTTCTTTCTCCATGCTCAAATGCTTCCACTACACATGCTGAGCTCCAGCTGTACGCTGAGCACTGGGCTGTGTGCTCAGAGAGAGCAGAGACAGGACAGCATCCCTGAGAGCAGAGTCTACGATGAAGACTGACCGTCACACCAGACCCTCTGCAGTGGCTACCACACAGGGCAGATAGGATGTGGGAGTGACACCAAAGCTGGGACCTGAGATGGCCAGAAAATGATCGAAGGACAAGGTGTCATGAAGAATTTGATCCTGGGAACTGACTTGAGCAATCTCCAATCAGACAGCGACGATCACAAGTTCCCCTGCTACTCAGGGGTCATGAACTTCATGGACTTCACATTTTCACACTGTTAGGCAAATATTGTTAGAAGAATGATCTTTTCTTAAAAAAAAAAAAAAAAAGAATGGGGGACCAATAGAAGTGGAAACAAACCAGGGTTTCCCCAGAGAATAGAACCCCGGGAAGTCGATCCTCCATTGGACTGCTGTGTCTGGATTCAATCTTTTATTAGATTTTAGTTAATACTTTGTTTTTAAAAACTGAGGAAAAATGAACAAAACCAGAAACTTAAAAAAAAGAATGGGTATGTAATACACATATAATATATATGCACATATATGTGAACACGTGTGTATGTGCATTCTATATACATATACCTGTGTCTAGAGAGAAGAGTTATAAACAAATTATATTCAGAAGTACAAAAAAAGCCATTACGTTCTTGGAATACTCTTTTTTCATGTTGAACATTGCTTACTCATTTTTTCTGTGATTCATATATTTAATTATTTGTTTAAAAAAATGCTTAAGGTAGGGGCTGGGATTGTGGCTCAGCGGTAGAGTGCTCGCCCAGCATGCGCAGGGCCCTGTGTTCGATCCTCAGCACCACATAAAAATAAATGAATGGAATAAAGGTATTGTGTCCAACTACAACTAAAAACAATAAATATTTTTTTAAAAAAAGAAATGCTTAAGGTACGAATATGTCATGATGTATTCCACTATTGCATATAATCATAATGCACCTACTTTTAAAAAAGTGCACACACACTTAAGGGGCTAGAGGAGTAGCTCGGTGGTACAGCATGTGTTCTGCTGCCTAAGGCCATAGGCTCCAGCTCCAGCTCCAGCTCCAACATTAACAAAAAGAAAACTTAAAAAGTATTAACTGAGCAACTGTGTATGCCAATCTTTATGCTGGGCACTGAGGATACAGCAATAAACGAGGTCCCTAGCCCCGTGTTACTACATTCTACTGGGGAAAACCCAAACAAGTCAACTTAAATAAATAAGAAACTTACAGACCAACATAAGTATTATAAAGGCAGGGGGAAGGCTGAACACTTTCAATAGGAATGTCAGGACATTCAGAAGAGGTGATGTCTGAACTGAGACCCTGCAATTTTGAGATTTGGGAACAGCATTCCAGAGAGGACAGGAAGAACAAAGGCCCAGAGCATAGAGCTTGCTGTGTTAACACTCTGAGTCTCAGCCTTGGCTGCCCATTAGATTCACCTGGGGAGCTTTTTAAGCTACAGATACCCGAGCCTCATTCCTGTGCTAGTTTTTAAGTTCTCCAGGTGAGTTTAATTTTCAGGTTGGCTATCCCTGTGTTAAAGGATCAAAGCCAGTGTGTCTGATGATCGCAGGAAGTAAGGGGAATTGAGGTTAGACAAACAGGAGTAAGTCTGTGCCCAACCTTGTATGCCTTAGGAAGAAATCCGAATTTTATTCCAAGTCTTGGAGATAACTATGGGAGCCTTGTTCCAGAGGCACGTCACTAACTGATTTATGTTTCTAAAGATCAGCCTGATCTCTGAGTAGAGAATCAACAGTGGCTCCAAGGGGCATAAGTGGAGGGAGGAAGACCAAAGAAGTGGCCACACAATTGTTCAGGTGAGAAAGGTCAATTGCTCGGGCTGGGGTGGTGGCAGCAGAGATGGGGAGAAGTGGATGGGTTTGGGCTACATTTTGGAGGTAGAAACTACGGGGCTTTGGGGTAGATTGGTTGTGGTGGGGGAGCAGAAGGAAGAAATGATGGATGACTTCTCAGTCTGAAGCCTTAACAAGTAGGTTGGCGCAATGCAATCCTGGTACCTGGAGTTCAGTCCCATGTCAAAGGTTGAGGACACCATCTTCCGCCAGACTCTCTTCAGTTGAGGCATCAGCCTCTAGTACCAGGGTCCCCATAGTGGAGACGGACTTCTGACTGGGTGATGGGAGGAACAAAATCCAGTCAAGTGAGCGGGAACATATGGGCAAGACTGCAACTGGGGCTTCAGGGAAGGGAGAGAGTGCTGATCAAAGGACCAGGGCGCTCCCAAAACAAAGGGACATGTAAGCATTTATTGATGTGCTAGGGGTGAGCTAAAGTCCTGTAGTTTTCCACCAGCCAGGGGCACGGTTCCAAAAGAAGTTTCTTTCTGCATGAGATTCATACCACTGGGCAGTCATGGTCAACTTTTCCCAGGAATTGCTAGGCTACTCTTGCTGCTGATGCCATCATCCTGTGCAAACATCCTGGCCTGAGGCTCTGTCTGGGCCTTCTGATAGACTTTCAGGTGCTTGGGCTGCTACTGTTGCTGAAAAAGCACAAGAATGGGGGTGGAAGAAAACATACCAGTTCCCACGGGCCACCAACATGTCTACATGCAAAGTCAGGTAGAATCAGACCCAAAAGTTAAGGCACCAAAGGGGTAGATGTAATATGAAAACAGAAGTGCCGAGCCTCTTCATCTCATTCCTGTCATCCATTGGACATCAGCAAGCCCAAGTGAAGAGGCAGCGTTAGATGTGGACTGAGGATGCAGAAGCCTCACGTTTGGGAAATCCTCAGACCTTATGCTTTGCATCTCTTCATTTGGCTGGTCCTGGTTTGTGTCTTTCTTAGTAAACTGCAATGGTACAATATGGTGTTTCCCTGAGTTCTGTGAGTTGTTCTAGCAAATTATTGAACCTGAAGGGTGGAGGAACCCTCCAATTTGTAGCCAGTTTGGGACAGTCATGGAACAAAAGGTTGAAACAGTGAAATAAACTCAGCAGACAGAATGAAATCCCTCAGCAAGTCAGTATTAAAAGAGAAGATGGCCCAGGTCTAAGCCCTAAAGCAAGGAATCATTACTACCTACAACTCTGTTTTTCCTGCTATCTCATCTTTATCTGCTCAGGTAGCCAAAAAAATCAAAGTTTGTCCCAATTGAGACAAGTTCTGGCTTTCATATATGCAGACCTCAAAAATCATGCATTATAGGAACAGAGAGGATTGCACCAAGGATATCAGGCTTAAGCCAATGAGCACCCTTGCTGTTCACATCTTCTAAAACAGAGAATAATATAGAAGAAAAAAAACTAAGAGCCCAGAATATTCTAAATGACGTGTGGGATATAACAAAACATATTCCTTTTGCCAGTGTAAAACTATAAAAGGATTTAAACAATGAGCTTGTCACTTCTACAGCAATTTCTTCTATTTGATAATGTTCCCTATCCAAACTGTTACTGTATGAAAAATGATATTGTTTGTATTTTGTTTTAAAGGAAACATTTTCTCATTTCTTATTAAAAGCAAAATTTACTCAACTTTATTTTCTTTTTCAGTGCATAGGGATCAAACCCAGGGCCTCACATGTGCTAGGCAAGTATTCTACCAATGATCTACATCCTCAGCCCATATTTATTTATTTAACTTTCAAGAACTAATTTAAAACTACTGTAAGTCCAATAGATGAATCATCCTGAAGATCTTGCCACCTAGGACCAAAATTATCATGATGATAATCAATAAGATCTTCATCCAAAGCCATTCCAATTAATAATAAAAAGAATGACTAGCATTTAAGCTCCTATATATAACAACTCACAGCTAATATCTATTAGTTATTGAATGCAAGCATTTAATTTTTATTTAATAATATGTTTTCTATTTCACAATGACCCTGTGAAATAGAAACTATTACTACCCTTATTATATAGGGGAGGAATCTGAGCTTAGAGATAAAATAACTTGCTTCTCTACAAGATGTGAGTTGTTATTGAACTGCATCTAGTTAGCAAGCACCGAAGTTGGGATACTCACTCAGTGCTGTCTGAAGATGAAGCGGTAAGAGGCTCGGAGTTGAAGGAGAGCTGGTCATGGGTACCTGTGCGCATGCCCTACATGCATGACTGCTCCACCAATGTTGGTTTTTTTCTGTTAGAAGGGACAGGACAGTGTGCACTTCCTGTGGGGCTGCCTTGCCCTCCCAGACTGTAGGAGCCAGGCTAGGCAAGCCTTGAATTGCTATTGGGTAAAGGAAGTTCAACAAAATAAAGTAACGCAACCCATTGTTCCATGTCAAGTTTATTTATTTATATTTAGCCTTTCCCCAATCCCTGAGGACTGTCTGATTTAGAGATTCTTTCCCCCTTTGATGATGTTCCAGAAACTTCCCCCCAGCTGACTGTGCATTGGGTGAGGGAGACCATCACCAGAAGTCAAGCCATTGAGATTAAGCCAGTTACTACTTATTTGTCAAGTACCAAAATATCAGAATGTCTAGATGTCAGAGCATCAAATTTTAAAGAACTGAGGTTTATTCATTATTTTGTGTTTTTATATAGATATATTCTAAGTATAAAACACATTTTATTATTAGAAATTACTTATTATGTATTTACTATAGTAATAAGAGCTATCATTATTGAGTTTTTTATATGTATCAGACAGTTTAAAAATATTTTTACTTAGTCTTTGTAACACTAAGCATAGAAGGCATTATAATTCCCTGCAGAAACAAAAGATTTAAGACCATCCAAGGTCACACAGCAGCAGAATGGAGACTCCTTAATATAGGTACTTTCCTACATAAATTCTGCCTCTAATACACTGGTAGCAAACAGTCCCTTAGCTCCAGGCAGAGTGTAGAGATGTCTGTTTATCTTGGATGCCATTCTTTACCATCCACAGTCCCCGCTTAGCTGCAGGTAATAAACATCCCCCACCTGTTTCATTAAGCTGAATATATTAACATTATTGGAACAGCTATTATGACTCAATGCCCAAATACAGCGATAGTCTAGAGGTTATTGGCATGCATACAGTTCTTTGCCTCCATGCTAAAAGGTGCAACACTAACATGCTTTTGTGAATTTTATTTTTTTAAGTGCCTGCGTCTTTTGTTTTTTTCATGTTTCTTCCTCTACTCCACTGTTAATTTGTAAATTACCACACACATACCTCACTGGTGCCCTTGCCAGCCCAGTTTGGGGGTAGATAATTCTTAGTTCTGGTAAGGGGACCTTCCTGTGCATTTATCAGCAAGCCTGTCCTCTTCCTCCGAGATGCCAGTAGCAACTCTCGATTCCTATTCAGTCAAGCCAAAGAGGCCTCCAGACATCGCCAAATGTCCCTGCATCGAGGGGCAAACTCACCCCCCATCAAGAACGATCGTTCAGGGTGAACACATACACATACACACATTTCTGGATTACTACTTCTAGACCAGCTTACAAGAGGAAACAGCTAGCCAAGCTTATTAGGGAAAAACACAAAACAAAATTCAATAAGCTCACAGTGACAGTGTGTGAGGAAGCCTCACGGTGAAACTCAGGAGCTTTAGCTCTTGACATCTGTGACATGTTTCTGTTGCTCAAAGGCCTATTTTATTTTGTATACATTTTATATTTCCAGCATATTCTGAAGAGGGGAAGTCCTCAGATACGTGATTATAGAAGAGAATACTGGGCTGGTGGGTAGCTTAGTGGTAGAGTGCTTGTCTCCCATGCATGAGGCCCTGCAAAAAAATTAATACCCAGCGCTGCAAAAAAATTAAAATAAAAAGGAAAAAGAAAATGTACTATGTATGCCACTATTGTAATCCCAAAGGCTGACTCTCAAAAAAAAACTTGCCCTGAGAATCTCTGAGGCATACAGCATGGTCTCCACCATTTCAACATT